ATAGTCGGCTCATCATTTGGCCTGGTACTTATAGTGACACTTTTATTTGACTGAAAAGAGCCGGAAAAAACATTTTAGGGTATCATTAGGGTCAGATATTTTTTGTTCCGAACATTGAAAATATGGAGAAACTTTGTATTCGGGTGTGTTGTATTCAGTTGTGTTTTTTTATTTTTGCGGTTTTCCACGCAAAATCAGGTCACAAATAAACATCGGAATGGGTCGAATCTTAAAGCATATTAAACCCCTTTCAGTTTAAACGACATTTTAAAATTTCCAAAAAAACTATCCTAGTGTTGAGATAAACTGTGTTTCTATCCTAGTGTTTCCATTTTTGGTTTAATTTCAAATAAAACTTTAAGCGAGTGAGCAGGCTTGTAATAAGCTTATAATAATTAGTTTTAAATTTATAAAAGCAAATATTACTTTTTTAAATTATTGGTCAGAATCTTCTGTGCTACTTGCACAGCAAACCGATAGCCTGCAATTTCTAAATTTAGCTTAATATAAAGAAGCGTTTCTCTAAGCTCTTTTTCGATTGATCACAAAACTCTTATTAGGGTTGGTAATTTTCGATTTCGATTTCTAAAAACGGTCAAAAAATCAATAAGTTGATTTTCCGAAGGTTAAAATAAAAAAACACCGCATGATTTTCGAGCAATTCTGAGTACTTCTGATGTTTGAAATTACCAGTGCTTCTTATATTTTTATATTGTTTAAAATACCAGAGCTTCTTTGATTTTATAATTTATTATTAAAAATTACCGATTCTTGTTTGTCTTACGTAAGAATTTTTGGTTGCGCTACGTTTGGAAACTAAACAAACCTGAGCTCGATCTCCAAATAAATCCAAGAACCGATCTTCTAATTGAGAACTTTCAAATAGCTCAAGTTTTTTAATTAACGTGGGTTGACAAAATTCTTCATTTGTGAGTATTTATAGCATTTTCCTTGTCAAGACCTACTTTTATGTATCTTCATTCTAAGTTACCGTACTTTTGATGATGGTATATGACTCTGACTAATTATTTTTCGCAGAAGTGACATGTTCATCGCAGCAGTTCAACTCAACCCGAGTCGAGATTTCCAGCCCAAATTTAAGGTAGATTTGAGCGGTTTGAACGTCTTTTTTATAGAAAAATACGCTCAGAATATTGCTTTAAAATGAGCGGTTTGAAAAAAGCTGAACGGCTGAATTTCATTTTTAGGAGACTAAAATAATATTGATGACTGCGTTTGTTGGACCCTAGATCATTTTAGGTTGGTTTTTGGCTGGAGTATCGGAAGATCAGAAGTTCTGGAGGGCTGATTCCGTGTGCCCTGCTACAAATACATCGAAAAAAAATTTCGCTCAAGATTTGTGCGGTTTGAGCGGTTCTCGCAGGGTTTTGAGATTTGAGCGGTTTTGAACAATAGTGAACGGTTTTGATTGTTTCTTGCAATGATTTGAGCGGTTTTTAAGCTGTTTGAGCGCAATCATTCGAAAACCGCCCAAACTACTCAATTTTTGAACAGTTTTCAAGCGGGATTTCGAATAGAGAACCTGTGAAAAGGAGCAAGAATCCTCGCGGCCAGTTTCTACTTTAACATCCAGTTTCAGAGCTAAACTGGATTCAAAGTTGGAAGTTAAGAATCTCAAGTTAAGATTTGAAGGGCTGGTTGTAGCGAACCATCAGTTGGCTTTTCTTTCTAATCGCAAGCACAGATTCAAGACAGCTTCTCCAAAATAAAAATGTTTTTTTTTTCTAAAAAAATATTTCTAAAAAATAACAACCAACAAAAACTACATTTTTTACGCAATCAAGGTTAAACGAGAATCCGAAAAAAAACTTTGGATCCCTCGTGAAAATTTCTGAACAGATCAAGAAGTCACCAAGCTTCTGCTAAGGGTGGGACCCGTCAAAACTTTGTGACCTATTACCCAACTCTTCTCCCCGAAGTTTTTACCCTACTTATCACGTTGCCAAACAGACCTCGACTATGCCAAACACCTAATTCCAAAACAAAGCTAGAAGACGGAACCAGTTTGTAGTCCTTATTCTTCAGCATTTTTTTGTCATTGTTATGATACCAAATCCCATTAAGTTACATACGATATTGATAATTGCACAGCAAAAAAAATGTAACAGACACCTAACCAACTAATTTTCACACAGTACCACACAGTAACCCAGGAGAGCCTCAAACTCAAAACACTTTGTGACAAGAAAAAAAATTGCCTAATTTTTCACTGACAATTTTTTAAGTTTTTTATTTGAATGTAGGGTAAAGCCAAAAAACGCCTTTTCCGTGCAACAATGGTGACCGTTGATAACGCCAATTGTTGTGAGCAATTTTTTTGAGTGAATCCCCTCTTCGGTTTCCTCCAGTGGTTGGATAACTTTTAACATACTGCTCGACTCGCAATGTTTTCGACTAAACACCGGTCCCTCTTGGGCCCGCTACTTTTATGCATTTTCATCAACAGTCTCCCCGATTGGCTAAAATTCTCTGACCCTTATATATACACGCCGTTGACCTTAACCTAATGACAGTTAACATTTATGCAATATAGGTACAATGGGACTTGAAATGCGTAGATGATTTTTTATAATAATCAATGACAATTAAAAAACATATTGAACCAATCCCAGGACTAGCTAAAACCATTTTACTTTTAATTGATCAGGCTCAACATTTCCTTCAGGACAATGACAGTACCGCTGAATTAACAAGGCTTTTACAAGGCTCTCTAATGCGGATAGTAGCGTATGGACTATCCTGTATCCATCTAGGAGGATACGATCTCACACTCCTGAAGTGAATACAAAAGAAAGTCCTGTAATTGATTACAACTAGCTCACAAAGTGAGTACATCAACAAGTGGCACTTTCTCAATGTATTGCCGTCTCCCATTTTTTCAACTACTAGATCGGTGTCTTCTTTCAAGCCAAGAAAATAAAAGAGATGTGCTCCCATATCTATTGCAGTACCCGCAATCAAAACTGAGGATAAAAGGGGACTTTCAAACTCACCAGCGCAAAAATAGAAAAAACACAAGGAGGAATCGTGTTTCCAAAATGCCGAGTCGCATCCGGATAGACAAAATTGTCGATTTCAACAACAAGACTGGGCTCTTTTCCAGTTTCCCCCTTTCAAATTCAATACTGAAAAGTCTTTTTAACATTGTCATAATGCAATGAAATTTAGCGTGGTGAACAAATCGACAATTTTGAACAGATTTGTTCTTCATACTTTACAGCGTAACATCACGCATTTAGCCGTAATAACACGTAGAACAAACATAAAACTCGGTATTTTGAAGGGGGAACTGGAACAGAGCCCAAGACTAACTTGTTTTTCGATATTCAAGATTGGCGCTTTTTGATACTATTGGTCCATTTTGAGAGTCAACTCAATTACACGCAAGAGTCAACGCAAGCAAACCAAAATGAAAAGTGAGGTGGGGGAAAAGGAAAAGAGCCTGGAAAAGGAAAAGAGCCAAAATGTGAGAAGAAATTTTGGCTCTTTTCCAAATCCCCCCTTTCAAAATTAATTTTGAAAAGCTGGTTCAACGTTGTCATAATGCATTCAAATTTGGCATGGTGAATTAATGGCTCTTTTCAGTCCCCCCACCTGTTCTTTGATTTTTTCTGAAATTATTTCGATTAGAATCTTTTTTAAATGTTATAAACTGCAATAAAACATGTCGTGAACAGGTGAACAAATTTTTACGTTTCCTACATGCAAAAAGGCCGTGTGAACAATTTTTGAACAGTTTCATTTTGCAATTTTACGAGAGGGGCGTGAAAAAGAGCTAAAATTTTGGCTGAATTAATTTTTGGTTCATGATCCCAATTTGGCAGAGCTAATGGACTCGAAAAGTTTTGTTTGAATTGTCTTAATATCAACATAAATTTATTTTGAGGGAAAATTGGGCTCTTTTCCAGTTTCCCCCGCCCCTTTTAAATTCAATACTGAAAAGTCTATTTAACATTGTCATAATGCAATGAAATTAGGCGTGGTCAACAAATCGACAATTTTGAACAGATTTGATCTTCATACTTTACAGCGTAACATCACGCGTTTAGCTGTAATAACACGTAAAACAAACATAAAACTCCGGTATTTTGAAAGGGGGGAAACTGGAAAAGAGCCGAAAATCGTACTGATGAGAGTAATATATCTACGTTCGAACGATTCTTGTTTTGAATGCTTTTCTGGTTGATTAAAGTTTGATAATTAGACACAATAACTTCTGGTTGTTCGAATTATATAAATTTAAATTTGTTTGAAATATGTTCATTTAATGATAACAAAAGAAATGCAAATTAAAAGGGACGGAATTGGAAAAGAGCTTTGATTTTTTTACTGAGGGATACAACTTACTGAAGTTACTGAGGAGGGGGACTATTATGGGAAAGACCCCAAAATTTCATAATTTTACGACAAAGTCATCGTCAGTTGCTGAAGAGGAGAGAAAAGAACCTGAATTAGTTTAAGATTATTTTTCCGACTTTCGATACGAAAGTAACGGAATATTTGTGCTCGGGGTGGGTTTTTTTTTTCTTCAGACAAATTTCGACTTTTTAACTAGGCATTTTTGACGGAATTTTTTTATATCATTCAAAAGGTATTGTTGTCCTGAGCTTAAATTTGAAACGATATTTTTTCACCTGTGATCATTTTTCGTAAAGTTATGAGGGTTTAAAGATTGCCATTTTAGCCATTTTGACCAATTTTGGACAATTAACGCGCGATATAATTTGGGATAATCCATACTCTAAACTAAAACCTTTTTGAAATGTAATCATATCATATTTCTAAACGAGTACCTTCAGAGTTTCCGACGAAAATTGAAATTGCTTTTTTTCATCCTTATGAGTGCCAACATAATTTTTGAAGTTTTGACCAAACCGTCGGCAATCTCTCGCATCTTACCGTTTCTGCATTGATTTAAGGCAAAGTTACCAAAACAGCATAAGGTTACAAAAATAAATTTCTATGTTATTGTTTCTATTCTAAGAAAATATGTTGCATTTTCAATGAAAAATATATTTCTGTTTTTAATATAGTTTCACATTCAGTTTTTAGGCTCCTTTCTGGGAGAACCTTGACAATTTTCTCTCCCTTCTTTCCCGGTGCGAAGCCAGAAATCCGAATTCGGCCGAGAGTAGTCTTTCAGCCGAAGGTCTCAAGGCAACGTCCCGTGTCATGCAACTGCTTACGAAGTGGATTATGTCTGCCGAGTGGTTCGAATCAGGTAGTTGAGGCACTGCTTTGTCTTCGGATCCGATGGCAAAAAGAGCAGCGATTGGAACCTAAATTGAAAAGTTTATAAGACAACGAGGGTTTTTGAGAGAACTTGAAAAACTTATAAAGGTCATGACAAATCTTTTTAGTACTTATACTCAACCTTGTAAAAACACAATTACTATCGCATTAAATTGATGCCAAAGGGGTAAACGGCAAAAGAACCTGACTGAATGCACCAAAACTCGTGTAATTTAATATTTTGAATGCCTTTTGAAAACATGCGCTGTTATCTTCAATTCTTGATTTTAGTCACTCACACATTTTAGTTGTGTTATTTCATATTTCATTCAAATATGGTCAAAAAATATGGGCCATACATACCATATCTGACCAGGGTGGTTTGCCAGTGGCCATTTCGAACACAGTGCAGCCCACACTCCACACGTCGCTCTTGGGGCCATGACCCACTTCTTTGATGACCTCAGGCGACATCCAGTTGGGGGTTCCCTTCATACTCTTCAGCACTTTGGAACGGGTCATGGAGAGGCTCTACAAAACATATATTACAATTTTTAAAGTGTTCACGTGTTTTTTCACATCAGCATGGCTTGCGTGATTCAATTTTCAAGTGAAAATGTTTAAATTAGGGCCATTTATCCCCGAGAAAAAAGAGAGTTCCTTGTTATCAAACCCTATGCTTAAAAAATACATGAATTTTTTGTGGTTGTTTTTGATCAAATCATCACGATAGTCTAAAAAAATAAAAAGTTTTAGAAAAAGAACAAGGAATAATAAGAAGAAAAAGAAGAAGAAGAAAAAGAAGAAGAAGAAGAAGAAGAAGAAGAAGAAGAGAAATGAGAAGAAGCAGAAGAAGAAGAAGAAGAAGAAGAAGACGAAGAAGAAGAAGAAGAAGAAGAGAAATGAGAAGAAGCAGGAGAAGGAGAAGAAGAATAAAAAGAATAATAAGAAGAAGAAGAAGAGAAAAGAGAAAAAGAAGAAGAGAAATGAGAAGAAGAAGAAGAAGAGAAATGAGAAGAATAAGAAAAATGAGAAGAAGCAGAAGGAGAAGAAGAAGAAGAAGAAGAAGAAGAAGAAGAATAGAAATGAGAAGAAGCCGAAGAAGAAAAGAAGAAGGAGAAGAAGAAGAAGAAGAAGAAGAAGAAGAAGAAGAAGAAGCAGAAAAAGAAGAAAAAGAAGAAGAAGAAGAAGAAGAAGACAAATGAGAAAAGAAAAAGAAGAACAAAAAAAAGAAGAGCAGGAGAAAAATTCTCGTTTTTACATGTATTCTATCAGATGACAAAGAAGCTAAGAATCCATACAGTTTGATTTTCGTTGAATCCCTTTGAGAATATTTATCCACGAGGGTCAAATCTAACATACCAGCTGTTAGCTTCTTTTACTTTTAACCGCTGTTTTCACCCTCGTTAAAGCAAGGATGGACTACAATTTGTTTTAATTCGTTTCATTTTTTCCGTATCATACTGTAGCAGTTTTGAGCACCAAGAAAAATTATACAAAAAACATGTAGTTCATAACCAGGCAGGGGCAAAGCAACGGCTCAGTGTAAAGAGTTAAAAAACTCGTAGGTTCTGCTACCAAAAGTTGGATTACACCTTGAATTTGAAATGTGTTTAAGGTTTCGCTTTTATGTTCAGCTGATCAATTCAAATTTTTGGCCCAGAAGTTTCGGCCGAAAAGAAAATGTGTTTCGAATAACTATACCTCAAGCCGAAAATAACTCAGTCTGGGATGAGATGAAATGAAAGAAAGTGACTATCCTTAGATCGACTGCTAATTCTTCTTTGTGTTTTTTGTAGTTTGTGGGGGACAATTTTATGTAGAAAAACTATAATTTTTTTTTCAATTAATATATATTATTTTATTTCTTTTGAAAGTTGTTTGCTCTTTTTAAATTAAAAACAAACGCAAGACTTTAAAGCTTGCATTTGTTACCAGCTGTAAGAGCTGTACAGTTTTACTTTTCGCTATTCTAGTTCAACAGTGAGAAAAAGTGTGAAACAATTAAAATCGCAGTCTTTTTCTTTCCAGAAAAAAACTTATAGTTTTAACTTGCCATGTATGACTCAATTTGTTTATAAAGGCTATTTCAACTTTAATTTTTTGAAAAAAAATCCAAATGCGATCCTTTTTTGTTGAAATATTGTTCTTGTTATAAATACGTTAATAAATCATTTGGCTCTTGCTATATAGTTAGTGCATGGGGAATGTTTTTAAGAAAAAGTTAAAAAATAACTGACTTTTCAATGAAAAACTTTTAATATTCAATTTAAGAGGGGAAATGTACTGAATGTTTTTGATTTTCAAGAAAAATTCATGATTGAGACTTTTTTTGATATGACTCACCCAATATGAGAAAACTCGATTGAAGTAATTTTTCTCTTGAAAATCTAAAAATTATTGTCCACGTTTCTAACTAGAAGTTGATTACGTTTTTTGTGACCATTACATTTTTATTGATCGATATTGGAGTTTGCCTTCCGGTTATCACAGAAAATGAACTCAACTTGAAATAAATCAGTAGTCAATTAACAAAAATTCGAAATTGGCGTGATCAAGTTTTAAGATTTTTTCCTGAGAAAACAAAAACAAAAAAAAAGAAACATCATTCGACCTATAAAATTGTTTTCACTACATTCATTGACCCTGTATCAACAATTACTTCAAAGACGCTAAAATGGTAGGAGCATTTTTGTTAAATTTTTTGATCGAGTTACACTTTTCGGACCAACTACTCGATTGGATTTTTGTTTCGAAATTTTTGTTAACTCACCATGGCCATTTTCTTGGCGCACCCGAAGTCGATGAGTTTGATAGTTCCGTCTGACATCAGCATTAAGTTGCTCCCCTTGATGTCCCTAAATACAGAAGATGCAAAGTTGATATCAAAAATAAAAGAAGAACCACCTCTTTTTGATTTTCCACCTAAGTGTATGTTGTAAAATAACCATTGTTTTAGAACAATAGTTTTCAAAACAGTTTTCAAAAAAGTTTGTAAATTTACCAATTTTTTAGAACAACAGTTTTCAAAACAGTTTTCAAAAAATTTTTGTAAATTTACCATTGTTTTAGAACAGCAGTTTTCAAAACAGTTTTCAAAAAAGTTTGTAAATTTACCATTGTTTTAGAACAGCAGTTTTCAAAAAAATTTTCAAAAAAATTTGTAAATTTACCATTGTTTTAGAACAGCAGTTTTCAAAACAGTTTTCAAAAAAAATTGTAAATTTACCATTGTTTTAGAACAACAGTTTTCAAAACAGTTTTCAGAAAAAATTGTAAATTTACCATTGTTTTAGAACAGCAGTTTTCAAAACAGTTTTCAAAAAAGTTTGTAAATTTACCATTGTTTTAGAACAGCAGTTTTCAAAACAGTTTTCAAAAAGTTTGTAAATTTAACATTGTTTTAGAACAACAGTTTTCAAAACAGTTTTCAAAAAAGTTTGTAAATTTACCATTGTTTTAGAACAGCAGTTTTCAAAAAAGTTTTCAAAAAAGTTTGTAAATTTACCATTGTTTTAGAACAGCAGTTTTCAAAACAGTTTTCAAAAAAGTTTGCAATTTTACCATTGTTTTAGAACAGCAGTTTTCAAAACAGTTTTCAAAAAAGTTTGTAAATTTACCATTGTTTTAGAACAACAGTTTTCAAAACAGTTTTCAAAAAAGTTTGTAAATTTATCATTGTTTTAGAACAACAGTTTTCAAAACAGTTTTCAAAAAAGTTTGTAAATTTACCATTGTTTTAGAACAGCAGTTTTCAAAAAAGTTTGTAAATTTACCATTGTTTTAGAACAGCAGTTTTCAAAACAGTTTTCAAAAAAGTTTGTAAATTTACCATTGTTTTAGAACAACAGTTTTCAAAACAGTTTTCAAAAAAGTTTGTAAATTTACCATTGCTTTAGAAGAACAGTTTTCAAAACAGTTTTCAAAAAAGTTTGTAAATTTACCATTGTTTTAGAACAGCAGATTTCAAAAAAGTTTGGTACCATTCGTTCTAACTCATAGTCGCTTTTTCACGCACATTACCCTTTAATCCAAGTTTAGTTTATAACTAAAACCACTCGGCTGATCATGTTTTTGATAGCATGAAAAAATATTGATAAATTCCGGAATAATATTGGCAAAAAATTCGAGATTGTTCAATCCAAAAATTTAATTTGCAAACCGTTAATTGATTTTGATGATCCAATCAACATCCATTTATCCAACCTCAACAATTTTTAAATTCTTATAACATAAAAATAGTGTTTATTTCACGGAAGCATATCGTTCTTTTGGTTAGTTAATAACCAATACGTCAACTTCATCTGAAATTTTTCTTTCCAATTGTTTACCTATGGACGACTTCATTCTGATGAAGATAATCGACTGCATTGACCAACTGCCACGTGTAAGCCCCAATCACTCTCTCCTCTAGAGTACCGAATGTCTTCAGTATTCCCGCTATGGTCCCCCCTGGAATGTACTCCATGAAGATGTTCAACATGTGGTCGTCTATTGTAGTTCCAATGTACCTGCAATACAACTTATTTTCGCACTTTATATTTCGCAAAGGTGATTTTGCTCGGATAATTTCTAATCATAATCATAATAAATTGTTTCCAGTATAGGTCCACACCGCACTCATCAGTTTAGTTTTTTTAAAATAAAAAATCATCTAAGAAGAACCCAGTCTGGGAGATCGTCATTAGATAAATTATGCCTATATTCAAACGTCTCTGCAATTGCACAGTTATCGGTATGGAATTATCTAGTTATGGAGTAGTTGGTTCCTTGATGTTTGCGGGTTGTCGGCGCCCGCAAACGAATATCATCACTACATTCAGTAACATTCAAAATTGAACAAGTGAAGTAACCTAATTCAATGAGCTCGTAATTTAGTTCTTTTTAGTATAAGGTTAACCAAATTTGGTAACTACTTATAAATTTTTCCTACTTGACGATGTTTTTGTGTTTGAGGTTTTTGAGCATGTTCACTTCTTCCTGCAGCTTCACGTGTTCCTCCTGAGCGTGGCTCTCATTCTCGACCACCACATTGATCTGCTTCACTGCTATCAACTGTCCCGAAGAGGTCAGCCCCTGCCAAACTGTTCCAAATGCACCATGGCCCAGTTTGTTGCCTGCACAAAACCCATACACATCATCAGGGAAGCTTCATGAAAGTGTTTAAGGTCTTCGACTCAGTCGAATGATTGGTGGTTCGAAACTCGCTTGGATCTCTGCTCGTTGCATGAGAAGGAGTTCAAGAAAGTTAGATACCAGGCATCTTGACAAAACTCTTGAGAAAATGACAAAACACTTCATATTGATTATTTAATGTCCATTTGGGCTCTTGTTTCTTTTCCGCTCTTTACATAAAGGCCAGTTTTATAATTTCAAATTGTGCACGGCGACCAAACTTCAAATTCGTTTGGACGTACGTAGAATAATCGCTTAAGACAATTTATAGAAACTCGAACAATGTGGTTTAAAGTTTATCAAGCGAAATTTTTACTAAAAATAAGAGCCATCACGTACCTTTCTTCCAATAGACCAGTCGTCCAGTTGGTGATCCTCCCTTGTGGAATGCGTAGTTGTAGTGGCCATTGCTATTACTACCACTTTGAGAGTCATTCTGATTCGAAGGACGGGATAAAGATTCAGATGAGTTGTCGCGAGGGGTGGGGGTCACCTGGTAAAAAATATTAATTGTCATTAAGAGAGTTTTGAGAGATTTTTCCGGCATGGGATCTCTCGGACTATCCCGCTTATTCGACAGTGGTTTTCAATACAGACTAAGCAGCCCTATAAAACGATGATTCAGTCCATGCTGATTTTTTTGTATACAAATTTTCTCGTTCTGCAGCAGGCCGTGAAACTGATAATAAGTCATATTAACTCGAAGTCATATTTAAGTGAACGCAGTTCGATTGATACCATCGATAAATTTTCAGATGTAAGTTATAGAATCAGAAATCAAAGTTGCAATATGTAATTCATTGGCTTTGGTTATGTTTTGTTAAATAAAAAAATCGGTCAGTATTGACGAGTAAAACTGAAGATGATACTATGTCAACCAGGCGCGGATCAAGGAGTTTTTCGAGGGGGGGGGGGGGGGGGTGGATTTTCGAAAAAAAAAATTGAAAATTGTGTCGAGCTTTTTTTTTTAAAAATCGATTTTCTGAGCTCTCCCAAATCACTATGAAGACCCAATTTTGACGAAATTTTGCGTGCCGCAGGCAAGTTTTTGAAAAAAAAACCAAAAAGGGCGTTTTGATGCACTTTTTGAAAAATTTCGACCAAAAAATTGCGTTTTTTTTCGGCGCGCGCTCCCCCCTCAAAGTTAGTATAGATTGGCGCCAAAGGCGCCTTTATAAAAACGTTAAGGTCAGTCAGCCGAAATTGGATATCTCAAAGTAGTCCGCCTCCGCCCCCCCCCCCTTCCCCTAAAACCGCTTCTGATGTCAACCATTGTTTTCAATTAGCAAAAACTTACCGTTGAATTTGCAGACGACCTATATGAATAATTTGATGACGAACTGTGAGACGTGAACGCCCAGGACTCCTCTTGAATCACATTCAAACCACGATCGTTGTTGAAAACTTCCGTTTCTGGCTGATTTTCAATGTGCACAGATCGATATTGTTCTGATAAAACACCATGGTGCGTTCCAGTAGCACCAAATGATGAAGGTCCGGCTTTATTGGCATCAGTGATGCCAGCATCATGAGGAGCTACATCGTCGGCATCGCGAGGACTTGTATCGTCGGCAAAGGATACCTGGCGTTCTGACAAAACAGTAATCGGTCTTAATTCCTTGAAAGAATCTCCAGTTAATGGACGTATGTAATCTTCTCTCGTCAAGTTGTCCAAATCTTGGAAAAAGTTCATATCAGCTTGCCGTTCGTTTGCAATAGTGTCCGTATCGCTAAATTCTGTTCCGGGTGATTTTTTTTCATTTTCGCTTGAGTTTTGCTGATGATTATTTTCAAGTAACGTATTTCCAAGAAGAAGACATAATTCGTTGTTTTCTTCTCGACTTAAAAGAGCACTTGATGTTATAGAATCTCGATGACTGTTGGTCATTAATTTGCATTCGTTTTGTCCATCTGAATGTTCATTTCTGATTGGATTTTGGTCGAGTTTTTCTCGATTTTCCTCAATATCTGGAATCTGATTGTCGCTCAAATCTTGATTGGGTGGATCTTTTAACGTGACTGATATATGCCATCCTTTGCCAGAAACAAGAGCTGTATTATTCGGGCCTGATTCTTTATAAAAATCATCTACTCTCGTTTTTTCTCTTTCGACTCCTTTGATATCGTTTGAAATAACATCATCGTTAATTAGATCTTTTGGTTCAGAATTCGATTGCATTTTCTTCAATTTCGCATTTGAATCTTTTTTCTTGGGTTTCGTTGCATTCGGAGCATTTTGAGGTTTCGAATTAATGCTTGGTTTCTTCATGGCATTCGCAGTTTGTTGTTTAGATGGGACAGAGTTTTTGGAACTGGCGGTCGATTTATTTGAAACAATCGATGTTTTTGAAAGATCTAGCTTTCTTGAAGGCATTTGAGGTGCTGTGTTGATTGCAGAAATGTCTTTAATTTCACTTTGAAAAGCAGCTTGAGAATCTACTAAACGGTCTCGTGATATACTATCCATTGCATTTTTGATAGTCAGCGATGGTTTTTGATTTGACGGTGAATTTTTAACGTTTTCCGGCAGTTTCTCTGATTGTTTTGGCGTTACAATCGGTACGTTTTTTGGCATATCAGTTTCAGTGCATACAATTTCTATTGTTTCTTCTTTTGTTTCTGTAACTATTTTTGTTGTACCTTGTGAAAATTCAGCCAAACGTGAATCAACAATACCATTTTCATCAGTTCTCTCGTAGTCTGTTGATTTTTCACCTGCTTTTTTAGCATCGTCGATAATTACGTCATTCTTTTCAGCTGCAGATTTATTTGCACCGTCAAATCGATAACTGACCGTGTTTTTAGATTCAGCATCATTTTGATTTTCCGGAAAACTCCCGGATACTTTTTCAGAAAGTGGTGACTTTTGCTTAGAGGTAGATGATATTTTAGGTGTAATGTTTTCGACGTCCAATTGGGTTTTAGTCCCACTTGCAACTGCATTAACGGAAGTTTTCGAGGTTTTTGTTTCCATTTTGGAAATTGAAGGATTTCTCGAAATAACCGTAACTTTTTGGTTGTTGTTTTTGGCAGCTATACTTGCTTGTTTTTGTGGCATTTTTGATGTCCCTGTGTTACTATTGGCTGGTTTCGGTTTTTCACCATTCGAATTGGGGTTGTTTGTTCCGACCTTTCCTTTAGCAATTGCAGCCTTAGGGCGTTCGTTAGACGCAGCTGTTACATTTGATTTTTCTTTAACTGTATTTTGGGCGGTCACTTTATTTTTTGAATTATTTTGTTGGCTTAGGTTTGATTTTTGTCTGGCCATATTGAAATTTTGGGCAATTTCTATTTGAGCTTTCTCCTTTTCTGACATGACTTTTTCCGCTGCGTTTGCAGCTGATTTTGAAACTTCTCTCACAAATTCTGGCACAGCTTCAAATTCATTGGCTAAATTCTTAGCTTCAGAAGTCTTCTTTTGATTGGTTGATGTTTTCTTTTCAGCTCCTTGATTCTGATTGGTCGAGAGCTTCTTTTCGGTTCTTTGATTCTGATTGGTTGAGAGCTTCTTTTCGGCTTCTGGATTCTGATTGGTCGACAGCTTCTTTTCGACTTTTAGATTGTGATTGGTTGAAGCATGTGAATCGGATCCTGGTTTTTGATTGGGCGAGATCTTCTTCTCGGCTCCTTGGTTCTGATTGGTTGAAGGGCTTGTATTCTTTGGCTTGTTTTCCGTTTCTTTTCTTGCATTGGCTGTAGAATTGGTTTTGACCGAAATCCTTTGTCGAGCTTCAGTATTTCGAGATTTTAAATCTTCCTCATCCGTTTTGTCAATTTCTTGAATTTCATCGTTATTTATTTGATCTTCTTTTGTATCTGTGATTAAGGCAATGACACTATCATCAGTTGTTTCTAATTTTGTTAAAATTTCAGGCGAATTATCTGCATCTTTACTTTTAGAAATGATGCTTTCATTGTTTGGCTTAGAATCATTTTTGTTTTGTTTTTCATCAAATGACGGACGCTTAGAAGCACTGATTATTTCATCTACTAGACTTTTTTCATCAATTTTTTCCATTTCATTTTTTGTCTGTTCCACAGTCTGCTTTGTCTTGTCTTTGTTTTCCAAAACAATTCCGAAAATGTTTCCAGGATCGTCCGGAAAAAATTCAGCTGGTTTTGAAGTGTTCTTCAGCTTGTCTTTCAAATCGTCATTTTTAACCAACTTTTCAATTTTTGTTTCGTCAATTTGAGTAACTTTTGAGTTTCTTGTCTCCGACGAATCTCTAAACGTACCTATAGGCGGTAGCACAAAATGAGGGGTTAAACGTGTCGGACTTCTGGTATCTCGAATTATGGAATCAGATGATTTTATTTTACTGGCAGTAATCGAATGCGCATTTTCGGGCGACTCAATATGGGGCGACAAAGCTCTAAATTGAGTGTCATTCACAATTTCGTCAGTTGAAAGACGAATAGCATTTTCCGAATCAAAAGATCTTTTAATAGGGTCCGGGTTTTGTTTTCGACTACGAAATTGATTTCGTCGATCGGCCAAACTTGGTTTTCTTGCCGATCTTGAAGTTTCGCTGCGGTCGTCGAAATTATCTCCATATAAGGAGTTTTGGTCGTCGTCAATTCGGGCTTGCTCGTCTATGCTTACAATAGACAAAGCTCGTGTACTCGGCCTTGTAATTTCCGACGCGTCAGCATTATGTTGGGTTGCTCTCCTAGATGCCGAATTTGTAAAAAGTAAAGATCTTGCGCTTCCTGGAGGCGAAAATGCTGGCAGCGCCGGTTGGAAATTCTGGAAACTATATTTCGGTGATTTCAATTTGCTTACTGTTTCAGAACTGCTACTTCTTACTTTATCTTTTTCATGGTCTTTTGGTAAATAAGACGAATCTGGGAAAAAGAATCTAGATCCGGTTTGTTTCTGGTGAGGAAAAGATCTGTTCAAGTTCGGAACTGGGACTGAACTTAGAGCGAGGTTTTCAGCAGAGCCGAGGTAGTTGAATTGATTGTTATTTGTTGGAGTAGGCGCGGAGATTTTCTTGACTTGGAATTTTTTGGCTCCTGAAATTAAAAAAAATCAATAAAAAGTTCAGTACAGGTTACAGGTTTTCTTCTGAGACGCACCGTTTTCCCCAGGGGACAAAATGGGGGTGAGGAATTGATAATTATGTTTAAGGAAGGGATTTTACCCGTCTAAAATGCTAACATAAATTGTCTTAAATGCTTACTACAAGGGATAGAGTAATTTGGGTTTGATTGAAACTGAACAAAATTTATGACATTCAAACTTATTTGTTTGTGAAATCCAATGAGAAACTTTAGATGATATTGAAAAACTTCTGAATGACAATCCATGACAAATTCTGGATTCGAGCAACAAAAACAGCGCAATGACTCTGGAGTCCATTGCGCAGTAGCAGAAGCTATCAAACACACACAAAAAAAAACAAAAATAGCAATAATTGTGTCAGAATCTTTGATTTTTCAGATCTGAAATAATCAAGAAAAACTAAAATTCAGAAAAACAAATTTCAAATTTGGAAGCAAACAGAAAACACACTAATATTTACTAAAAACAGATATGCGCTCACTAGCTGAAAACCGCCTTGTTTTACAATAATTTCTTTCTAATCTACCAATTCTAATTAGACGATCGCTTTTAAAATCCATTTTACATTTTGTGCGAACAAGAGACAAAGTGTAGAATCCAAAAACTACAATTTTGAACGATGGCGGCGTCGTAATGAGTTTCAATACTTAAAAAAAGATTCTAACAATCAGTTTTTGTCATACAACAATTTCTAGCGTTTCATCTCACCGCCTTGCTTAACAAAAAAATACAATTTTGAAAACAATGGTTTTTAGTGATCTTTTGTGTGTTTTTATTGTTCTTTTGAGAAGATAGAAGAGGGACTGAACAGAGAAAATATTGAAGAAAAATATAACCAAAAAGTTAGTAAATTTTGGTTTTCCGAAAAGGCAAACAGATCTGATATCATTTTAAAAGCCTTGCCAAGCATGGATCGCAATGAAGAGGAAAATTATGTCTGTTCTGCTTCAAACGCTAGTAGCTTCAGTTGTTATACTTGTTCATCGAATTTTCAATTTTTCCTTCAGTTATTTGTTTTTTTTTCCTTCATCGTTTTTGAAAAACTCAAAAATTCGTAGCTTCATACGCCGAGCGTCTTGCATAATCTTTCTTTTACACAGCTTAGTTTTCAGATAATTGCACGAAAAAGAAGAGAATGTTTCAAACTGTAAATCAAATCCAACAGCTGCGCCATAAACTTTTTCTAAAATAGTGTCTAAATCTTTTAAGCTTTAGTTGTCAAAATTATAAGCATACCTAACAGCTAGATGGAAAAAATTCAATGATTGGAAGGAAACAGAAAAACACGAATATTCACTAAAAGTTACGTTAATCGACTTTTTTTTTTACAAATATTGATCTAATTTTTCAAAAAAATTCATATTTCAAAACGCAACGTAAAATTATATAATATTAAGGCTCTTTGACTTTCATGAAAGTTTTTTTCGGCCAAACTTAATCAATTTGAGGATATTGAATAATTAAGTTAATTTTTCATTCCGCAGAGAAAAATAAATTTTTAAAGTCCATTTCCAAAATAAAAAGTGAGTCGCATTTTTCGTGAGCTTCAGTCTTTTGCTGTTCGATAGTGGGTTTGCTTTCTTTTCAAAACACGGAACAAGACTGCTCGTATCAGGGTAAAGCCCTGAATGTTCTGACTGCCTTTTAAAGCTTTATGGAGCAGTAATAACATTAAAAATTTCAATTTTTAGGAAAAAAATTTTTTTTGTTTTTTTTTTTACATTTAATTTTTTTTCAAATAAAAATCATCTACCCACAAGCCATATAAAGTACAAAAGGATAGATTTTGCTCCTTGTAACAAAACCATTATGGCAAATAAGCTTCTCTCAACCAATTTGGAACGATTTTAAGACGGATTAACTCTCTGCTTACGCGTTAATTGTCCCAAATTGGCCAAAATGGCAATATTTAAACCCCCATAACTTTATGAAAAGTGATCACACGTAAAATATCTTTTGAAATTTGAGTTTAAGACAACAATATCTTTTGAATGATACAAAAAAATTCCATCAAAAATGGTTAGTTAAAAAGTCGAAATTTGTCTGAAGAAAAAAAAACCTACCCCGAGCACAAATATTCCGTTACTTTCGTATCGAAAGTCGGAACAAAAACTGAGCTTAATAACTAAACAAAATCATACTGGAGAAAGTAAAAACTGAGCGTAAACAATTTTTCAGACATTTCCTGAAAAAAAAGGAGAAAAAAAACAATCATCTGTCTTCACTACGTTCATCGACTCTTAAAAGATTCATCCTCTCAAATATTTTAATTACATTGAAAACTTTTGAATAATGTTTTTCTCAGAGTAAAGAGTTTTAGGTTTCCAAAACATTGCAAAATCAGAATCCAATATTTTTGGTTTTGCAAAACAGGAATTTGAATTTTTGAAAGGTAAGACAAAATGTATTGTTACAAATTATATAGCTTCCTTGACCATCATGAGCTTAACAAATGAATTATAATGGAATTAAAATCCAATTCATGTCTCGAAACCACTTGATAAATACTTCCAATGGAACTATTTTTGAGTTTGTGATGAACATTATTTCATTTTTTTGATTATGAAACTCCAGTGCGAAATCGCCGAGGGTCTATAGTTTTTAACAGTTTTAGTGGACAATGTCCTAAATTTTAGAATTATTCTAATTAAGTCTTCGAAGTTTCACGCTTGCCTTTTTCGGCGTGAATTTATTTTTTGAAAATCCGTTTGCAAAATCAGTGCTGAAAGAAAAAAAAATTGGAACAAGTACGTTGAAATTAAGCGGAAAACGATGTCTTTGAAAAAACACAATCGTTTTGCTATGCAGTTTTGACCATTCAAACACAATTTTATCAACTCAGTTGCATTTTTAACGCCGTTTCAATGTCTCAACATCAAAAAATTTTCAGAAAACTAAATTGGTGTCCATGAAATTTGCGAAATACTAAATACTTTATAACGTGCGTTAGGTTCTATAATTAATGCTACTATCGGTGACGTTGAGCCTTTTAATCAATCAATAAGCGTTGTTTGTGGTAATTAGATTTCTTATATCAATTTTATGTGCTCGATCCATTGAAAAGTTGATTTCAGACATCAAAATGAATAGTTTTAAGTAAATTATCTTCAATCAAATTCGTTGACGGAACACGATATTATCAAAAGTTTGGCAGTAACTATATATTTGTTCATTTTACAGCTGTTCATTTTATGTCGATCAATGTTAGTAAAAGGAGCCTCTGAGTGTATAAGGGGTAAAATTATTGCTACAGTGATCCATATAAGCTCAACAAACTCACCTTGAAGTCTCAATTTCTCTTCAGCAGTCGAGGTCAAAGGGCGCACGGATAAAAGCTCGGTCAAGTTCACTTCAGTAACGCCTTCCGTGTCCCCATTAGGGTGAGAATGGGACGAGTTGATTTTAGGGAAGAATCCCCCACCTAAAGTAGATTTTCCTCAAAAATACCAAACAGATCGATGTTTTTTGTCGAGGGGGTTGCCGAAAATTTTATCGACCACGTTATAGGTTGAGCAAACTAATTTTTTCGTGGTCCCTAATGATCTTTTTGTGCAGAAATCTACTGCGCCACAAGCAAAATATTGATAAAAGGAGCCAAAATTACTTATATAAGGTGAATTTTAGAAGGTTTTGACGAAAAAAATGCGGTCTAATATTCGCGTTGCTCCGTCAATTTTAATGTACAATGAACATTTTTACAGAAAAACTTTAAAAGACATCGGCGAAAAATTGAGTTCGTGAAAAATTAATATAGAGGAGCTGTTTGGTTGGTGAGAGTGTCGAGCTCCTGGCCCCCTCACAAACCGAACAAAAATTTTTATGTCAATTTTTTGCCGATATCTACTTTTAGACATCTAGTTTACGTTCATCGACGTTTATCAAGTATTTTTTCTATGATAGCGACCGAAAAATCTATCTTTTTTTTCGATCATTAAATGAATAAGATATCAAATTGATTTTTGCGAGCCTTTTTCGAGCCAAAAAAAGAAACGTAGAGTTAAAAAGAAACGTAGACTTCTTAAGAGTCCAAACTGCACTCACCCCCATTGCCTCCAACATCTGGCATGTCTTCTCCCCCCGATGGGAATATGGGTGAGGAGGAAGAGGGAAGTTCCAGTGGGGGTTCCATATTTGTGTTGCTGTAGGTTAAAGACCTGTCTGATGACTTAGGGGTTCTTGATGTCGACGAACAAGGACTATGTATTGGTCTGCAGCATCAATAAGAAAACGGTTATTTAAAAAAAAATTTGAACGTTTTTATAAAACGTTGGGTATCGAAACAGTTGAGAATGAAAATAGATCGTTTTTATCTGTGATAACGTGTTTTTAGGGAAAAACTATTATAATAACAAAAATGAACGCATTTAGAATAAAAGTATCTCAATTTTTTAGAGAACTTTTTCGAACATAAGCGGAAACTGAAATCAAAGGGCGTTGGTGAAAACGGAGTCTTAGTTTTTATAAATCAAACTAAGAAATTCATTCGCAAATTTCGGCGTGATAGATAAAATATGAGGAGGTTTGATTATGTTATGCCCTGTGGGAAAATCCATTGTCGAGCTTGTCTATCTTTTTTACTTTTTAAAAGAAGCTTTGAAAATTAATAAGAAAAATTTCTTGTTTGCTAGAAACTTTCATCCCATATAAACAAATTAGTTATATCACTAAGCTTTCAATATATTTCTTTAAGAGCTGTAGTTTTTTGGTGGTTTTTCAAAAGCATGTAAATATTTTTCTAGAGCAGCTTTTAACCAAGTAAAACAACGTCAGTTTTGTAAATATATATATAAGCATTTTGTGTTATATCTGCATTTTGGTTTATAATGGTCAGCTGAACAAACTAAAAACATTATAGAGATTAAAACTCACCATTTTGCGATTTTCTAACTGCAAACTATTAAATCTCACGTCAGAAAAGCGATCGAATTAAAAGTACCTTGAAACGAAAAAACAAACCGAACAAATGCTCTTAAGTTTTTCTTAATCTGAACATCTAATCAGTTGATCTGAATGTATGTATTTGGACTGAGCAAAAGAAGAACATGTATTTTTGCACCTGCGAAAAAAAAATGAAGCGTATAATAGAAGTGTAGTTTTTCAGTCGTCCATCATTAAATGAATAAAATATCAAATTGACTTTTTGAGAGCCTTTCTTAGGCCAAAAAATCATTTCATGCCTGAAGGAATGGGATTTCAGTACCAATTTTAGTGTTGTAAAATCAATATTTTATGAGAAAGAGTTTTAAAGTCTTCTAAAAGGTCCGATTGAATATCATCTGATCAAGTGATATCATTTAATAAAGTTTGAAAAAAATGAAAAGCTTACGGCCCAATTTCAAGTTTTATGCGTTGGTACAATTGGTCAGTCTTTCGATTTAAATACTAGGAATGTTTATGGGACATCATATTGCATTATTATGTATTATGTGTCACAACAGATCATTTTGTTTTTACTGAACTTAGAACTGAAAGTGTCTCTCGGAAACTTTCCCGCATAGAAATCCTAAATTCAAAAACCGAACAGCTTTTAATTTAATTTTAAGTTTTTGAAAAATGAGTTTTTGATTGCAAAAAAAAACAAATGCTTTTTCACTCGATGTGGTTTTCATTCTTCAGGCAAATAGCGGCTTTATAACCGGTAGTTCTTTAACGGACTTTTTTTGCCATTGCATAATAATAAGTGTTGTTTCTGCTCTTTCCAGAGGATCCATGAAAAGCTATCAGGCCTGTCTAAGCATTTTCCTTTTCTATAATTTACCCACATGCCGTATTGACCCCATTTGCTGAGCAAAGCTCATTTAGTCTTTTTCTACATATCAACGCCCCAAGCGCAAAGTTTATAAATGAATATTTCACCGGTAATCACTTTCTTAAAGTAAACGGGAAAGCGGTTTGTCACTGTCAACATAGCCAACAACTGATAATTAAATCGGTGAATATTGTTCTAATAAGACGTAAAGTGATTTAACTTCAATAATTTACTAGAACAATTTTAAGTTTTTTGCGAAGCAAACGAAGCTATAAGTTTCAAAAATTCGAACCTCGAGCTATTTTGAAATAATAGTTCAAATTTCGAATTCTAAATTTTACATTTTTTTAACGCCTTAAATCCATTAGCTTCAAAAACTGCAAATCCATAAGATGTTTACTTAAAAATTCAAAAGTTGAAGAAATTTGAAAAATCAACCGGTTAACCGGTTTTTCTGTTTTCTGGTGTTTTTTTTTGCGCTGTCTGTTGGCAATGTTTTTGATGTTTTTTTGCTTAAAAAGCTTGCTTGGAAAAAAAAAATTTCGTCCAATTTCATTGCTGTCTTACAAAGCCTCATTTCGCGAACTGATTCGCTCTCTGAAATAAATTGAATGCTTTTAAAGTCTTATCGTTGGCTCAGAAATTTTTCCAATTTTGCAAACCAAATCGCTCATTGAAATCATGAAATAACTTAGTAACTTCAAAGTTTGTTGTTTTAATGGCTGGATTAGAAAAAATTAACCTTTCTGTTAACCTTTTTGCTTTTTGAAATAACTTGTTATATTTCAAACCTGTACCGCTTCAATATTTTGTTCATTGCTAACCAAAATGCTCTCAACTCAACGTATGATTTGACTCAACGTATACCATAACCGCTTGAATGGCTAGATTGGAAAAAAAATTGCAACCGATTTGCTCTATGAAACATCTGAAAAAAATAGTAGCTTTAATAGCTATTTTAGAAAAGCGTTTAGTTTTAAGGCATACCTTGACATATTGCCGAAGTTTGACCCAAGACTTGCCGTGGTTTGACCAAAAATATCAAAGATCATAGTTTGAATAGCTCGCTATAAAAAACAATCAATTTCTGCGAAATGGATCACGCTATAAATTAACTTCAAATGTGTTTCAAGCTTAATGCTTGCGTTGCCTGCTTTAAAAAGCTTGAGTTTTCGGAAACTACTTCTTTTCATGAAATATTTTGAAAAAATTTAAAGCTTCATTGCTTTCAAGTAACTGCACTTAACAAAACTACAGCGTTCACCTAACTGGCTTAGAAACAATTAAAATCTTGCCTATTTTTGATATTATGGAATAAACTCAAGATTCGCCGCTCGCCGAAAAAAATTATTTTCGTGCAAATCAATTCAAGGTAAGAAATAAGACAAATGATATCATTGCTTAACTGGCTAGCTCAGAAAAACTTATTTTTCGGCGAATCGATTCAAGGTAAAAATGAACATGAAAAAGCTCAAAAGCATCATCATTTGAATAGCGGTATAGAACAATTTTAAGAAACTCCAAGTTGCTTGCAGACAAAAAATTCATTTTCATAAATTTTAAGGAAATCTAATCATATTGATTAGATTTACATAAAAATTAAGTTTTTGTCAACATATGACTAACACGAACGATAATTTTTTTTGAGTATTTTGAAATTTTATTTGTTTCAAGAGCTTCAAGACTTGACTAACCTGCTCAAAAAAAAATTTTAGAAAAAAGTAATTTTTTTTTTATCGTAAAAAGTGAGAGAGTGAAAATGGCTTGCTTGGACTAAGTTTTGCAAAAAAATGTATGTTTTGAACTGACAAAAGAAAATTTGAAACTTTTATCATTGGAAAGTCTTGGTTAGAAAAAGTCAAAATTTTCAAATCGACCACAAAGAGACCACGTATAAAACAAAATGAAAATATTTCAGATTCATTGCCTGCTCGTATAAACCTTGAGGTTATGCAAATCGGTTCACTATGAAATGACTCGATTATTTCAGTAATTTCAAGACTTGTTTGGCCTCTTCAAAAATACAAATTTTGCAAACCGATTCAAGGGATGAAAAACATGAAAATTTTACTGAAAAATTTAATAGTTTCAATAGCTTGCGTAGAAAAAACCAACTTTACTATGAGATTATTTGCGTTAAAAAAAAACCTTCAATTTTTATTGCTTGAAGGGCTTCCTTAGACAAACTTTTTTGCGAGTCAATTTCAAATTTAATTTAGCAAGAAAAATTTCA